CACACCTGGCAACGTGGTCCATTATTTCTTCTGCACCCACGACCACAGCCTCGGCCATAGCCTCCCCGGTGATTATTTCGCTGAGTGTTGGTGTTGTATCCATTGTTGTTGTTGCGACGAGGAGGATTTGTGTCTTGGCGGGTAGCATTGTTTGCTGATGTGGTAAATTCCACTATTGTGCTCACGGCAGTGGATTGGGCTTCATGTGCAATTAGATACGAATAAAATTCTGGAAGTGTTACCTTACGTTCGTTGCTCAGTATGGTAATGACGGTGAAGAGATCACCATGTCCGGGTCCTAAACCTGCCAGTATATAGCCAATTATCTCTTCATCATTCATTGGTTGTCCAATATTTACCATAGTATCAGCAAATCTTGTCATCTTTTTATAGTATTCAGCTGCACTCATGTCTCCTTTCTTTGTAGTAGATAGTTGAGTACGGATTTGGATTGAGTTCCCTTGATGTTGGGCTGATAACATGGTGTGGAGGGATGTCCACAATTGTTGGGTTGTGCTAGTGCAACGAATAAGTTGTGGTAAAACCTCTTCTGTCATGGAGGATAAGAGACCTCCAATGATAGCCTGATCCTGGATCACCCACGTTTCATAGGCAGGATTGGGTGTGGTTTTTGGAGCCTCAGATGCCTCATCTTTTCCAGGGGTGCTGCTTTCACTTGTCACTGTGGCAGCAGGTGCAGGATCAGTACCATCGAGATGTCCAAACAATTGAACACCTCGTAGGATACGGACGACTTGAGCCTTCCATAGCAGAAAATTGGCACGGGTTAGTTTGCAGGAGATAGCGGTGGCTATGGTAGACGATTTTACGGGTGCATACGTTTTAGAGATACTTGTTTGGAAGAAGACCAAAGAGCCAGACGTAGGTTTTGAGAGGGAGGATCGAAAGCTCTGATACCAAGATAAACAGAGAGTTTTGGCGTAATAATCACCCAATGGGGATTCAACTGATATATATATATATATATATATATATATATATATAGATATATATATATAATATATATATATCTATATATATATATATATATATATATATATATATATGAATACATAGATTACAGATTAAGCTAACAATAGATCCTAAACACTAGGACCTTATCTATACAATAAGACTTATCTATAAGATACAATATATCTTATCATTTATGTTTACATTGAGGAGGTGAGCAGCCATATGAAGGGCTTCAGTCCAGAATGTGGGAGGAAGTCGAGCATGAAACAAAAGAGTACGAATGATATTATTTAAGGTGTGTAGCATGCGTTCAGGTTTTATGTTTTGCTGAGAGGTGTAAGGACATGAAAAACGAAAAAGAATGCCGTTTTGAAAAAAGAGAGTGTGAAATTTATGATTGACGTACTCACTGCCATTGTCACATTGAAAAGACTTTATGCCTGTTTGAAATTGGTTGTGAAGAAAATTTTTAAAGTGCACGAATTTGTCAAACACATCAGATTTGGAACGGATAGGATAAACCCAAACATAATGAGAAAAATCATCCAATAAAATAACATAATATTTAATACCACTGAAACTTTCAATGTGAGATGTCCATACATCAGAATGAATTAATTCAAACGGAAACTGAGAAACAGAACTAGAAGCGCTAAATGGTAATTTGACATGTTTACCCAATTGACATGTATGACACAAAGTCGACTCTTTATTAGAAGAACATGAAATAAAATGATTCTGAACAAGGTGCTTAAGGATATGTTGACCAGGATGACCAATACGTTGATGCCAAACAGACGGAGCAATGGAGACGAAATCTTGAGAACTTGAAGAAGTGACAGGATAAAGATCACCAGTGCTGTCACATCGGATGAGAATTTGTTTGGTGCGGAAATCCTTCACAGAAAAACCAAAAGAGTCAAATTCAATAGAATAATTATTTTCACGAACAAAACGATGAACATAAATAAGATTTTTAATAATAAAATGAGTAATTAAAACGTTTCGAAGAGTTAAGGTGCGATAAGGATTGGGAAGCGGAAGAGTAGTGTGTCCCATTTTTGTTACAGGTATTAAGGATCCATCACCAACTAAGACAGATAAAAAAAATTATTGGATTTATCTGAAACAGACTTAAGTATACCTGCATTCGAGTGAAGATGCGAGGTGGCCCTAATGTCCATGTACAAATCGGCTTGCCCCGGGTTATTCAACGTCATGGTATTAAACATTTGTGGAAGTGTAGTGGGTTTCGAACTTTGAGTTTGAGCTAAATAGACCTGCGGTTGAGAGAATGAGTGTTGGGCCAACGAAAAAAATTGATGTTGCTGCTGATTTGTATTATGATGGGCTGGATGAGATCTTGGCCCATATGCGTGTAGGAGATGATCATTTGGGCTTGGCAATATTCCATGAGAGTTGGGTCAGGTGGTAAGATGGGGAGTGTAGGCCCAGACCGAAGTGCCTTGACGAGGACGCTGATTATCGAAGGTCAAATTGCTTCCGCAAGACCACCACCATGGGGATACCCACCTCCGTTGCTTCTCCCGTTGTAGCGTCCTCCACCCCGGCCACCACGGCGAGCACCTCTACCATCGGTGTCGTTTTGTTGCCATGAAGGTGAGTTGTTTGGGGGGTTCTACACAGTTAGGGCATGGGGGATGACGAACTGTCAGCATGAGTGATTAGGGAGTCACGTTTTTCGTCTTGCATCATTTGTTATTCTTCACATAATAGAATGGATCTAGCATCCCAGAAATATGGAGGTGGGTCACGGTGTCAGAGGTTAATTGCAATATACTGGAACTTTGAAGACATACCATTAATCATGTATGCAACAAGGTTAGTTTCGGAAACTTTGGCATCCGTGTGTTCTAATTGATCAGCAATAGATTTGATTTTGTTACAGTAGTCTGTGATGGAAGAGTTACCAACAAAGATGTTTCTGAGTTCTCGATCTAACTGAATAATCTTGGATGTTTTGTTATCACGAAAAACCTTTTCAAGGTTTTCCCAAACTTCATAGGCTGTTGTCTGCTTCTTAAAAATTATGTTGAGAAGAGGTATGGAGAGAGTGTCATATAACCATGATCTCATGATGGAGTCCACACGAAGCCAAGAGGTCTTCGCAACAACAGATGCTTCAGTAGCTTTCTCTTTATCTTTATCGCCTGATGCAGTAACAGGATCGAGGCTGAAGATGATCATCTACACCATACCCAATGTAGTGAATTTCAAATAATTCTCTCCAAATATCATAGTTCATCTGATCCACGTCTAGAACAAAGGGAACTGCATGCTTGATATTGATTGTAGATGAATGCTTGTCATTCATGGGAAGAGACATGATGGGGAGAAGAAGAAAAGAAGACAGATATAGAAAGAATGGAGATGAGAGATCAAACAGTCGACAAGGAAGGTAATGTCGACTTAGGGTTGAAGGGTAATCATGCAATACGCTCTGATACCATGTAATTGATAGAATTTCCCATAATGATCTCTCATTCAATTAAACAATATATATATAAATAATACATAGGTATAGAAAACGGGCCAAAACACACATAGGCTGGCCATAAGAATGATGCATATATAAACTAATAAGGCTACGCTAACAGTTATATTTATGGTATTTTGGTAGAACAATAATATTTTATGAAAAATAAATAGTTCGTGAACTATTTATAACACAACCCAAAGCCTATCACGAATAAAAAGTTAATTTATTTGCAAATAATGATATTTCAACATCCTTGAACTGATGTAATTTTATTACAAATTAGGATATCAATTTTCAAAATTATATAAAATACAATCATATACCAACTCTTAACATTTTTCTCGTTCATCATCTTTACAAATACCACTTTGTTCTTTACATTTTTAATATATATATATATATATATATATATATATATATATATATATATATATATATATATTATATATATATAATAAAGTATTGAACTGAAAGATGGACAACCTGTAAAATACCTTAATTCGTATTCGAGTTTACTTTTATTTTAGTTTTATAATATTTGATTTCCATAAAAAGTCTTCTACAAAATAATAAAATTTCCATTTCGTCCGTCCCTTCATTTGTGGTCACATATTCTTTGTATGTTAAGTATTAAACTTCTTGTATTATAATTCACCAAAATTAGATTATATCAAAAGTAGCTAATACTCAATGTCATAGTAGGTCTAGAAATATACTCACTTCAACAACAATTGTCCATTTCGTTGATTCTAAGATTTCCTTTTAAATATAAAAAAATAAATGCTTACACTGTGAAATACAATTGATCAAGATCTGGTCGTATCAATACGTTTCTCTTTTTATAAATTTCTATCCGGCTTTGATAGTTTGATTATAAGTATCATAAAATTTATATAGTATAGCTTTTAACCATATAATATTGTGTAAGAGTGGATATGGTGAATAACTCTCGTTATGTTGTTATCTCTAAACCACGAGTGATAGACATAGTGTTTACTTTTGGTTTTTATAATTAATAGAGTTTAATGGGGTTCAACCGTTCAATATATTTTGGCATTCTTCAGTCTTCAGTCTAAAATTAATGAATACAGTTATATTTTTGTTTCTTTGTTTTTATCTTACACATAATAATTCATTCATGTTTTATCTTATTGTACACCGCAATTCACAAAATCTTGATGAAAAAGTGTTTTGTTTCCACTATTGTTACCAAAATCTTGAATCATATAGTACATTTCTTCTATGCAATTTCAAATTTAAATAAATAGTGACCACTGACCACACCAACCTACTACAAAAACAAGAAACACCTCTTTTTGGTAGGGTCTCAACAAGCCCTAAAAATCCTTAAATCGACACGCACGTAGTACATAGTGTGTATGGTGTCCTTTCTTACCATTTACACACACAGTCAGTGTAGTGTGTGTTTCTATGTGAGAGAAAAGCAACAACGAAAGATAACTAACTGATCACCCTATCTTTTTTCTGTATTACACTTTGGTAAACCCACACTAAACCCTCTTACATGGCATCTGTTCATCTGCTTCTTCTTTCTAACCTGTTCTTCATTTTTTGTTTATTTTTTCAATCAAGATCCTCACTTACATCAAAAAATGCAATTCTACCCCTCAAGATTCAATCAATTTCATCTAGCATCTACATAAAACCGCCAAAGAAGCTCCCTTTTCAACATAATGTTTCTCTCACCGTCACCCTCGCCGTCGGCTCACCTCCACAGCCGGTTACCATGGTCCTCGACACCGGCAGCGAGCTTTCATGGTTTCACTGTAATAAAACACCAACCACACCTTTGTCGTACGACCCATTACATTCCAAATCCTACACCCCTGTTCCCTGTAGCTCCCCCATTTGCATGACCCGAACCCGAGACTTCACTGTCCCCGCTTCTTGCGATCCGAAAAAACTCTGCCACGCTACTCTCTCCTACGCCGACGCCACTTCCGTCGACGGCAATCTCGCCTATGATACCTTCCATTTCACGGATTCGGACCTTCCCGGAGTAATATTCGGTTGCATGGATATGGAATCAAGCTCTAACCAAGATGAGGATTCGAAAACAACCGGGCTAATGGGTATGAACCGGGGGTCGTTATCTTTTGTGACCCAAATTGGGTTCCCAAAGTTCTCGTATTGCATATCGGGTCAGGACTCCACCGGCGTACTACTATTCGGAGAATATAATATCTCTTTGCTCCGGCAGCCGTTAGCTTACACATCCATGGTTAAAATGTCAACGCCGTTACCGTATTACGACAGGGTGGCATACACGGTTCAGCTTGAAGGAATCAAGGTTGCGGGTACTGTTCTACCCTTGCCCAAATCCATATTCGTACCCGACCACACCGGAGCCGGTCAAACCATGATTGATACGGGTACCCAGTTCACTTTTCTTCTTGGACCTGTTTACACTGCTCTGAAAAACGAGTTCTTAAAACAAACCAAGAATGTATTACGGGTGTATGAGGATCCGAACTTCGTGTTTCAAGGTGCAATGGACCTTTGTTACCGGGTTGAACGGAGTCGAGTCGGGTTACCCGTGTTACCTAGTGTGAGAATGATGTTTCGGGGCGCCGAAATGGTTATTTCGGGTCAGAAGCTCCTGTTTAAAGTCGCGGGGGTAACCAAGGGTGGTGATGACATACATTGCTTTACGTTTGGGAATTCAGATTTGTTAGGAATTGAAGCATACATCATTGGACATCACCATCAACAAAATATGTGGATGGAATTTGATCTTGCAAACAATCGGGTCGGGTTTGGTGAGGTTAGCTGTGATTGTATAAGTCAAAAGCTTGGAATTGACTTGTAAAAAGACTTGATATGGCTTCTCTCAACCGTTGGATCATAGTGTCGCTCTCATGATCATCTTATACATTTACTCTTTGATTAATGTTTCGTTCATATCAAATCATTTGAGCTCCTTGTTCCACATAATGTAGCTAAACTAACTCTCTTAAAACGACGAAATGTAGACAAGTACACAAAAAATGATATAAAACATACAAATTAAAGTGTATAAACAACACATTTTATGTCAAATTTCTCTTGAAAATAAATCTGGCTATGGTGAGGGTGGTTTGGTCAGTTTGTTGGTTTAGGTGGGTAGGAGGGTTTAGCCCAGATGTTGGGTTTGGGGGAGGACTGAGGAGGGGGACCAACCAACTAAATATCTTCTCTTCTTCTTAAATTTTGTATCCACAGTCCACTGACTTGTATGTTGTTTTGAGTTGTTTTCACACGTGATCTGCTTCATTTAATTGATATAAAATACTTTACACACATACCAGATTTATTGGTATGTGTATTTTTACAGTGGGGACTCGTAAAATAGAACCACACTGTATATTGTCTTTGTTATCTTGATCGGGTTTCTATAAAATGGGGTATAAAATGGGGTTTGGAGGTGAATGGCGTGGATTGGTCTCCGCAACATTAGAATCTTTCAACATTGTTTTTTTTATAAGATATGAATTTTTAAAAGAGTAAAGACACTGAATTTTTAATATCTGAATTTTTAACATATTGTTTGATTGGAATCTTGTGCTGAATTATAAAATTGATCATTTTACCTTTTTTTTTTAATTCAATACTTTTGTTTATAAGACAACCCTATATATATATATATATAATATATATATATAATATATATATATATATATATAATATAATATATATATATATCGAGACAAAATAGAATTTTCAAAATACAATGCTTTAATATGAAGAGGTGAAATTATGATACTATGAAAATAGCCTTAAATGTATGCTTATATGGATCACATTATATGTATACAACTTGATTCATTTACACATCTTGACAAGTACAAACGGTTTCTTGATAAAAAAACTCAATAGTTATTCCAAACGCTTTCTTGAAAAAAAAAGTTTCTTCTGTAAAATTCCAAAAGAAAACCAAAATACCCCTTAAAACTTTTCTTGCACCCAACCTTCAAACCATTAAACCGGCTCCCTTTTTCCTCACGCCATCCAAAGTCTCGATGCTTCATGCAATCTAGAACAATCCAGTCGCACTTGATAATAACAAAGAAAAGACCATTATACCCCTTACTTTTATTTTCGCACCGGTTCATCCAATATAATTTATCTTCAATTAGATAAATCATCTTAAAGAGTAATAAAACACAAAAATCTCTATGGCTTAACAGGTCTATATGACTACAACTAATAGCAAAACATAATCATGTTTACTAATTTTACAAATGTAAACCACAATCGTATTTTAGACTATTTGATGATGTTAGTATTAGAAACTGGGGATGAAAAGAATTGTTTGAATTCTCTGAAAGTCGTGAAATACTATCAAATTGAAGTATTTCGATGGTACAAAATCGAGCACTCAATTGGATAAAATTCAAAGTTTTCAAAAGAGAGAACGTTGGTGAAAATGTTCTTCAAGTGTAGCAGAAAATAACCAAAAATGGGTATATGATTTTCTTGTCTGAAAATTATCACATGACAGTTTAAAACTGTCACCAAACCAACAAAATTGTCATAAAAAAAATAAAAAAAATAAAAAAAAAACTGATTTTAAGATAAGGGTCAAAATGAGTCACTTTTCCAAAAAATCGAATTTCTGATGCATTTTTGATATAGCAACATAACCCAAATAAAAAATTTATGCACAGCTCGACCCCAACCAGGGGTTGTCGTCCCTTGGACCCCGCTCCCAGGGGCGTTGACCCCGGACCCCCGTTCGTTTAGGGGCTTCGCTCCTAAATGACAATCTATTTTAAATCTTGAACAAACTTAAACAAGTGTGCACTCCACACCTCCGTTACCCGTTTAATATTTGTCAAAATTATATTTGGTCAACAAATTAATCCATTACACTTAAATACACATTGGTGATAAAAATCACCAACAAACCTCCCACATTTAAGTGTAATCTTGATTAACATAAAAAACAAAACATAACAACAACAACCTAATGCATAAATGAAATTTCGTGACGATTGAATTTCACATTAGTATATTATTCATTTCAAATATTCGAATATCAGGGTGTCACTAAGGATTGAACCCTTCTATTTATAGTGAATACATGAAGATAATACACACAACAATTTACATTCTTATAAGTTCTAACTTGACATTGTATTTTACTAGCTTGTGTTCTATCCTTCAATAAGCTTATCAAGCTAAGTCCCAAAGCTTCTTGAAGCAGCTAAACTTCATGTTTATATAGGTAGTCCTTTTCTTCTTGCACATGCAAATGCAATTTTTCAAAAGGACTATTAAGAAATATAAATTCAACCTCCTTAACTTGCAATACTTAATACATTCCTTGGTAATGTGTTCCAATATTCAAATATCAAGCTTTCCACATTAAATTCAACATATAATATTACATTACATGATAATTAGGTATCTCAATATAAAAGATTTTAGGTGGACTCTAAACCCATCCCTACAGCCGCCTTGTGCACAAGATCTCTTGTTAACCCTTCAGTTGGATGATCGGCTAAATTCAATTGAGTTCTCACATACTCCACATATATCACACCAGTCATGATGAGATCACGAATCATGTTATGTCTAACACCTAAATTTCTAGACTTCCCATTATACACTTGACTATAAACCTTAGCCAAGGTTTCAGCACTATCACACCTGATAAATATGGTAGATATCGGTTTTGGCCATAGTGGAATTTCATAAATCATATTACTTAGCCGTTCAGCTTCTTTACCAGTAGTAGACAAAGCTACAAACTCATACTCCATGGTTGAGTTAGTAATACAACTTTGTTTCTTAGATACCCAAGAAATGAAACCTCATCCAAGAAGAAACACCCAACCACTTGTAGAGAAGTGACCGTCTAAGTTGTTAATCCAACTAGCATCTGAATAACCTTCCAAAACAGAAGGATATCCACTATATGTCAAACCATAATCCATGGTTCCTTTCAAATACTTGAATTCTCTACTTACAGCTGGCCAATGATGTGAACTAGGATTTCTACTATACATATACTAAGCCTTCCCACAACATATGATATATCAGGCCTAGTGCTAATCTGTAACATCCATAAAATTCGAGCCAATTTAAAACTTTTTTAAATCATATAAAACCATTCAATTATTACAATTTGTTTTCAAAATAGTTTAAACATCAGAGTTCCCAGAAATCATAATCATCAATCGAGGAAGTGTACGGTCACTCCTTCGCCTTCCCGCGGTCATCCGCTGAACCTGAAACAATAAACTGAAACTGTAAGCTCGAAGGCTTAGTGAGTTACCCCCAAAATACCAACCTCATATAACCATAATCATACCATATCAACAAATACAGAACAACCATGCATCTCGAGTCTACAGTGTGACTGGTCCGCCCGCACCGGGCCTTCAGCCCACCTGGTCCACTCTGTGAGTCTACAGTATGATTACACCGCCCACACCGGGCCTTCAGTCTATTTGGCCCACTCTTCGAGCCTCGAAACGTCTGGACCGCCCTCTCGGGGCCTTCAGCCTATCCGGACCGCTCGTCGGGCCTTCGGCCTGGCTATGTGCCCTCCCGGGTCTGCAACCTATCCGGTCCGCCCTGGGTATGTTGGCCTACAGCACAAAGCAGGACCTACCTCAACCCAACCCCCAATCAAACAACCATGTGCACATATAACGTATAATCACATAATAGTCTATAGACAAACAAACCGATCTAACATATCATATAGCATAGCAACATCCTATAACCAGGATACCGACTTAACTGGTCACCAACATAGCATCATCCTATATACCAGGATACCGACCTAAACCAGGTCACTAAACATAATACCGTCCTAACTACCAGGACGCCGATCTAACAGATCAATAAGCATATCAAATAAATACCAGTATACAATCCGAGAAAGGGCCGGCCTTGGTGCCTTAGACCCTGTTGATATAGTGAGGATAACTCACCTCGCACTGCCGATCTAAACTGAAGAGTCGAACTCCCGAATCGCTGCCTCACCAAAATCCCGAACAACTGAGCTCTCGACGCCCAAAGCTATCAATACCGAAATATCACTTAGTTCAAAACAATAATCCTCATTAGGGTAAAATGACCATTTTACCCCTAGTCCAACTTGGTCAATTTCCAAGGCCCAAAACTGCAATATAAAAAGGCCCAACACTAGGTAAGCTTCCCAAGCCCACTAGTGGCCCAATAATGGCCCAATTTGCTACATTGGGCCCAATCCCCTTAATGGGCCTTTCCCTAAGCTCAAACATATTCTTGGCCCATAATAATTGATTCCTGATGGCCCATCAAAGCCCAAATACCCAAGCATGGCCCAATAACACAAAGTCCATACTGACAGATTACGCGGGGCGTACATCTACGTACGCTAAGCGTACAGGCTAGAAGGTGCGTACCCTGGGCGTACCTACACGTACGCTCAGCGTAAATCCCCTGTTAAGTCCTTTTCCCATTAAGGGCTTAATACTCCACTTCAGAAGCTATAATCACAGGTCCTGATTCTTTTCCACATCGTAATCCATAAAGTCACTGACTTGGTGACTTTACTTGGCCCAAACAAGTCCAAACTCCAAAAATGATGCATTACTTCCATGAAGAGGGCTAGATATCATGCATGAACCCATTAAGACATTCAAGATGGAGACTTTACTGCTTATGGGACCCTTTTAGCTCTGAGGGTGGCAACCCTAAGCTCAAAAACGAGATTTCATCATAAAGGTCAATACTTGGGACCAAAATGACTCCAAAACCAAACTACACTAGATCTAAGTATTCTTAGGTAAAGTTATAAACTTTATACCTCCAAAGAGTTCCAAATGATGATGC